AGTAAGTATAGAGCCAGAGTTTCGAACACAGGAGATATCAGTAGTCAGAATGGCCAGCTTTCTTAAGAGTATTAAAACTGAGTTACATGAAGAAAACCCAGATCTCAGTGCTGTTGGCCCTCGGTCTAATTCCACCTCTACAAAAGAAAAGCAAAAGGCAATCCATGTGCTTCAGAACACATCTGCATGTGAAGTTAAAAAGTTCTTGAATGGTGGGGTTTTCCCTAACAGTGTTCATTCTTATCAAAATACAACAGACATCTGTAAAAGTATCTGTGGAGAGCCTTCTGCTTTCTCTGTCCCAGAGTCCTTTGATTCTGTTGTTTGTGGAGTCTCTAAAGAACATACTGCCAGTGAGACCACTATTAAGGGAGACACAGAGACCAGTGTAAATTCATCCATGCACTATGAACCACTTTCTAGAGATTCCCATCAGGACTCTCATGATGACCCTAGAAATCACAAATTAGACATGAGCACATCATGTACTTTGAGAAAGAGTCGTCCCAGCAAAAATGCTATAAAAGATAGTTCTGACGTGTTTGTACACTTAAACAATAGTGGTCATGACTCTAGGGGCTACTCTGACAAAATTCCAGAGCTGGAGACACACATGCCACCCAGAAATTGGGCCACAGAACCATGTCCCATCTTACCCAAAGATAAGTGTATGCCATGCTATGTTCAGATCCCAGATCAGCATGGTGTCTCCAGGACTTACGCTAACTTTACTATAACAAAAGAGTTCAAAGATGCCACAAGAACGTTCCATAGCCTGAAGAGACATCGGGATTTCTCTGCAAACGGCAGCCTGCTCAGCTCCTGGACAAGAACTTGGCATGTGGCAGATGACCTCACTCAGAATAGTTTAGACCTGGAATATTTATGTTTCGCACATAAGCTAAAACAAATACTAAAGAAAGGGGATTCTCAGCCATCTGTTTCTACCAGCAGCTCCCCTGAGGAGTTACGTGCCCAGATCTCAGTTGAAGCATTCCCTTCAACAGAAATATCTGAGTCCCCAATTCCGCATCTTCCACCGAGGAGCAGAAGCCCCATTCTGGTAACAGTTGTGCACTCAGACACCAGGCAACAGAGCTGGCACAGAAGAGGCCACTCATCCAGCAATCTAGTAGGGTCTTCCTCCTTTTGGAAAGAGAGGTGTGGTCACAGTAGAATCCCAAGTTCTGAAAGAAATCTGACTGTTCCTTTTCACCTCAACAAACTGAAATATAGTACTTTGAAAGAAGCTCGAAATGATATTTCACTTATTCTAAATGAATATGCTGAATTTAATAAGGTGATGATACAGAGCAACCAAGTTCTCCAAGATAAAGGTTTAAGTGTAGCCTCTGAAGAAGCTGTATCTCATGAGACGTGTCACCTTTTCCCAAGACAGTCGGCGTCCTACAAAGACGTGATTGCAGACTTGTGTGCCACTTTGCATGTCAAACTAAAAGGTGTTTTGAGAGAGGCTTGTAAGACACCTTTCCGGTTCTACCTTGTTGAAACAGAAGATAAATCATTCTTTTTAA